TGTGTGTGTGTGTGTGTGTGTGTGTGTGTGTGTGTGTGTGTGTGTGTATACACATACCACATCTTATTTATCCATTCATCTGTCGATGGACATCTAGGCCCTTTCCATAATTTGGCTATTGTGGACATTGCTCCTATAAACGTTGGGGTGCAGGTGCCCCTTTGGATCGCTACATTTGTATCTTTGGAGTAAATACCCAGTAGTGCAATTGCTGGGTCGTAGGGTAGCTCTATTTTCAACTTTCTGAGGAATCTCCATACTGTTTTTCTAAAGTGGTTGCACCACCTTGCATTCCCACCAACAGCGTAGGAGGGTTCCCCTTTCTCCACATCCTCACCAACATCTGTCGTTTCCTGACTTGTTAATTTTAGCCATTCTGACTGGTGTGAGGTGGTATCTCATTGAGGTTTTGATTTGGATTTCCCTGATGCTGAGTGATGTTGAGCACTTTTTCATGTGTCTGTTGGCCATTTGGATGTCTTCTTTGCAGAAATGTCTGTTCATGTCTTCTGCCCATTTCTTGATTGGATTATTTGTTCTTTGGGTGTTGTTTGATAAGTTCTTCATAGATTTTGGATACTAGCCCTTTATCTGATATGTCATTTGCAGATATCTTCTTCCATTCTGTCAGTTGTCTTTTGGGTTTGATGACTGTTTCCTTTGCTGTGCAAAAGCTTTTTATCCTGATGAAGTCCCAACAGTTCATTTTTGCCCTTCCCTTGCCTTTGGCGATGTTTCTAGGAAGAAGTTGCTGTGGCTGAGGTTGAGAAGGTTGCTGCCTGTGTTCTCCTCAAGGGTTTTGATGGACTCCTGTCTCACATTTAGGTCTTTCATCCATTTTATGAGTTTATTTTTGTGTGTGATGTAAGGAAATGGTCCAGTTTCACTCTTCTGCATGTGGCTGTCCAATTTTCCCAACACCATTTGTTGAAGAGACTGTCTTTTTGCCATTGGACATTCTTTCCTGCTTTGTCGAAGATTAGTTGACCACAGAGTTGAGGGTCCATTTCTGGGCTCTCTATTCTGTTCCATTGATCTATGTGTCTGTTTTTGTGCCAGTAGCATACTGTCTTGATGATTAAGCTTTGTAATAGAGCTTAAAGTCCAGAATTGTGATGCCACCAGCTTTGCTTTTCTTTTTCAACATTCCTCTGGCTATTCGGGGTCTTTTCTGGTTCCATACAAATTTTAGGATTATTAGTTCCATTTCTTTGAAAAAAGTTGATGGTATTTTGATGGGGATTGCATTAAATGTATAGATTGCTCTAGGTATCCCCTGATGTTTTGATCAGAATCTTCATTTTAACAGGATTCCCAGGGGATTCTTATGTACATTAAAGCACTGGAGAGGGCTTTCCAACCTTCTCTGGTGTGTATAACAATCACTTTCTGGCCACTGCCCCTAGAAATTCTGATGCAGCAAGACTGAAGCGGGCCCTAAGCATCTGCATTTTTAACAGGCTTCTACATGAGAGTGATGCTACCAGTCTGTGCCTCACATTTTGAAGAGCAGTTCCCCAGATCAGGAGTCAGATCACTTTTTCCCTCAAGCCTTCCACATATGAAATATTACAGGCTTATTCAGGCCACGTGGTCTCTAGTGCAGCCATTCAACCGGTTGCTCAAGAAATATGTAAATCAATGGGTGTGGCTGAGTGCCAGTAAACTTTGTTTATAAACTGTGAAAACAGAGAGGGTCCAACTTTGGCCAGCAAGCTGTATTTGCTCATCCTTTATGTCAGTGACCTTCAAGTTCCTCAGTGGATCACTTAATGTGTCAACGGTTGCATTCAGCTGAAGTTCACGTAATCTGTAGTGGTTTGCATACACAAGTCATTGTCTTTTTTGTAGGAAGCCCAGATGTTAGCCACTGTATTTGTTTCAGCTGCTTACAGATTTTAGGCCCAGCCAAGGTCTTTGTGATTCTCTTCGCCTTTTCCCTTTGGTCCTGAATGACTTTTGCCAACACAGTCATCATGTTTGCTGTCTCACCAGCCTGGCGAAAAACCCTGAAAGGCTCACTCCTCAGCTCGGTCTGCTCCATCTTTCAAAATGCTCATCATCACAAAACAGCATTTGCTTACAGTTCCCTGGGCATGCCTACGTGCAGGCGAGTCTGGGGAACACATTCTCTTACCTAGCCACAGTCTCACCCCCCACATCCTGGTTTTGTTTTAAGGAAGAAGCATAAAGAGGACAGTGCATAGGCAAACGACTAATTCCTGTCACATCACAGGCTATTTTGAGAGTAACCGATTTGTTACAATTACGTGAAAATTGTTAGTAGAAACATTTTTTTTTAAGATTTTTATTTATTAATTTGACACAGAGAGACACAGTGAGAGAGGGAACACAAGCGGGGGAGTGAGAGAGGGAGAAGCAGGCTCCCCGCGGAACAGGGAGCCCGATGTGGGGCTCGATCCCAGGACGCTGGGATCATGACCTGAGCCGAAGGCAGACCCCAACGACTGAGCCACCCAGGCACCCCTAGTAGAAGCATTTTTGGAATGATAGTATGCTTTCCTACATTCTGTACATATGGATGTATTTTGAAATACATATAAAATTTTATCTATAATTAGAATATGGTTAGTTATTCTAAACAAATATACTTGAGCTTAAATATCTTGTTGAGTATTGCATGTATCTAAATAGCCACTTTGGGGAACAGGGGCTCTACAGTGCAGAAGTCGCCTGAGCAAGGAGTTTAGAATCAGAGTTAGGTTCAAATCCCAGCCCAGTGACCTTGGACAATCTTGTTAGCTTCTGGAGTCTGAGCTGTTTTCATTTAGATGGTATTTGTAATACTTAACTGTCATCATTATAAGGGTTAGAGATGATGAATATAATGTACCTAGCTAAGTAACCTTCAGTAAGTTGTAACTGTGATTAATTAATAATTAAAGATTAACCCAGTGAAATTAATTTGGTCATTAACAGGTGGTCCAGTCTTTTTTCTACATACTAACTGAAATAAACATGTTTTTATAAATACTGGTGTAGTCATGTGTATGTTTGCCAGTTGTATTTCTTATCAGGTTACTAATGGGAGCAGTAGAATGGATAATCTTCAAAAAGGTGTTATTTGCTTAATTTTGTTTGAGCATTTTCAACACGTGACAGGTTTCCAGATTTTTTTTTGAAGAGAAAGATAAAAGAATAAAGCTAGAGCCGGTGACTCTGCCCTTAGCCCTGCTCATGTAATTTCTCCATGAACTTAAGTGCTGTTACCACTTGCATGAATTCAGTTGTTTTTCTATCTGCTGACACTTCACGATTGTTTCTCTAAAGATTTTTCTTTTAAACCCTGCATTTACTTATTTTATCTTATAGATAATGGGGTTGTGGGATGGTTGACTTCATTATGTGTATTTCTGTAGACACTTCTTTTTCTCTTTCATCTTGTAATGTGTCCAATTTGAAACGAGAAGTGGGAGAATCATGTTATAATTAATGTTCCTGAAGCCTGAATTAACTTTTGATATAAGTGACTTTTATAATTTGACAAAATTCTACAAGATATTTTTTCTCATGCAAATAGCAATTTATATTGAGTTTCAAGTGATAAACTCTTCATAGAATCAAAGAAGATTACACATGAGAATTAGGTGAGAAATCAAAAAGTAGTAATCAAATTGAAATTAAAGTAATACAGATTGTTTTTTTAAATTTTTTTAAGATTATTTATTTATTTATTCATGAGAGAGAGAGAGAGAGGCAGAGGGAGAAGCAGGCTCCCAAGGAGCAGGGAGCCCGATGCGGGACTCGATCCCAGGACCCTGGGATCATGACCTGAGCTGAAGGCAGACGCTTAACCATCTGAGCCACCCAGGCACCCTACAAATTGCTTTTATATATTCATTTGTATGTTTAACTTGGTTTGCATGTGTTTTTCACTATTTTTTTTAACTGTTATTTGCAGCTGGATATTGTGTGATTACATACATCCTTGGAGTTGGAGATAGACACCTGGATAACCTTTTGCTAACAAAAACAGGTAATAAGTAATGGCTACTAGCAGATATATACATTTTATATGCCAGTGATTTTTACTGTGGAATCTGCTTAGTAACAAAACAAGTTACATAAGTGAAAATAAATCATATGTCTTAAAAATCCCTTTTTATGGTGCCTTTGAAGGAAACTCCCATCCCTTACAAGAATCACCTTTTTTTTTTTTTAAGATTTTATTTATTTACTTGACAGAGCGAGAGAGCACAAGCAGGGGGAGAGGCAGAGGGAGAGGGAGAAGCAGGCTCCCTCCTTCCCAGCACGCTGCTGGGCTTGATCCCAGGACACTGGATCATGACCTGAGCCAATGGCAGACACTTAACCGACTGAGCCACCCCAGTGCCCCCAAGAGTCACTTTAGTAGTAACCCCACAGGTGGTCATCTAACCCTTCTGAAAATGCCTTCTTTGGTGGAAAGCCCATAATGTATGCAAGCAGTTGAGTCTCTTACTGTACAGCTCTAGTTAGAGTGTTGGAATATTCTTTCTCTTACCAAACTGTACTTAACTCACATTAATCCCTGTCTTTAATTCTTTGCTTTTCCCCTTGGAGTTTCATGGAATAATTATTCTCATCCCCCTCCTCCTGTTAACTCTTGAGCCCCTTGGCTTTAACACCATCTGTAAGCAAACAGCTTACAGCTTACAGAGCTTACAGCTCTGTACTTCAGTCCATTTCATGAAGCTTCAGACTGAAATATCCAGCCACTTATTTGACATCCCAGTTATGTGGCCAGTTGTAAAAGTTGTTTGCTTCCTCCATTATCTCTGTAATAACCTGCTCCTCACTTCATTTTTTCCATCTCAGTAAATTGCGGCATCATCCACCCAATTGTTTAAGCCCCAGGCTTAGGAGTCATTTTTAATTCTACTCTAGGTGTCATCTCACATATCAAAACTATTAATAGATCTTGTCTACTCTTCTCCCAAATGGATCATGAAGTTACCCACTCTCTCCATTTCCACTGCCTTGCCCCCATTTGAAGCCACCAACATCTTTTGCCCAAACTATTTGAATGAAATCTGAACTCTATACTGTGGTAAAGTTGTGGCTTGCCCACACTGACCAGTTTGAATGTGTCAATGTCAAACCACTCCTGCCTCAGGCAAATGCCCCTGTTGTTTTTCTCTCTGGAAAACTCTTCTCTCAAATCATTTCATGCCTAACTTTGGTTATTAAAGGCTAAGTTCAGGTGACCTTTCCTTAGAATAGCCTTTTCTAATTCTCTGATCTGAAATGGTGCATACTTGCCCACCGCCCTTCTCCATTACTCTGTTGTTGTTTTGCTTTCTTTAAAGCACTTAGCCACTAGCCTAAGCTCTCTTTTTTGTATAATTCAACAAATATTTATTGAGCACCTACTATGTGTCAGGTATTGTTCTAGGTACAGGGGATACCAAAAAGAACAGAACAGACACAAATCCAGGTCCTTGTGGAGCTTGTTGACTTCTTATCATCATCTCCCGTTCAGGACGCAGGTTCCATGTGAGCTGGGACCTTGTCCATCCGGTTTGCTACCATGCCTCCAGATCCTTGAACAACACTTAGCTAAAGTGATTGATAAATCACTGTTGACTTAATGAATGAATAAATATTGCTGCTCTTCTGTGTAGTCTTTTCTTCCCTGGGCTAAATAATTCAAGTTTCATCAGCCTTCCACAGAAAATAGATTTTAAGTTACTCTTAAAATGGTCTCTCAGGTAAGAACATTTTCTGTTTTGTTAGAATTTCTTCAAAATGTGACACCAAGAATTTAACACATCAAATGTAACTTTATACAGCAAATGTAGTCTAATTATTAATACATAATTAACCCTCTTAATTCACATCACCTGGAATTTCATATATTTAGTTTTAATTAGTGTGACAAATTATCTGTGGTAGAAATTGCATGTGGGAACCACATCTGTGTCAAGGCCAGGCAGTCCCTTTAGTAACCAGGACCAAGGAATGTCATAGAGGTTCTTGCCAAATTCACCAGTTTAGCACAGGATAAAACATTACAGTGTGTTTGGAGAGAATTGTAAGTTGGAAAAGGTTTTCCTATGTTATCCCTTAACTCTCTTTTTCAGTTAAATCTTTTAACCACAAGAATCAAAGTACCAAAGTGATTCCATTTGTTTTTGTGTTGTAATCATTTTGTAATTACAGTGAAATTACCTGCTGTATAGAGTGGCATTACGTCTGTAATGTTATTTTCACATATCTTGTCTCCTTTTGGAAATTGATAAATAATAGACCTTTTTCTTTTGGACTTGGAGAACTGCTCTGTCACATGAGAGTGTGTGTGTGTGTGTAGGGATATTTTAAGAATAAGATTTGGAAAGCGGAGTCTATTTAATATACTTTGGTGGTCCAGGTCACAGTTACTTGTCTTAATGGAATTAGAAGTATAAAATTTCTGAAGCAGAGGTTTTAAGCCTCTTGTCACCAGTTTTCCACTAGAGGGTGCTCCAAATTTGGCTTTAAAAATAAAAAACTTTGGGGAGCCTGGTGATGGGTATTAAAGAGGGCACATTCTGCACGGTGCACTGGGTGTTATACGCAAATAATGAATCATGGACCACTACATCAAAAACTAATGATGTGATGTATGGTGATTAACATAACATAATAATAAAAAAATAAAAATAAAATAAAAAACTTACTATGTGCTAGATGAGAGATACATTCTCTTTCTTTTGAAACAGCATTTCTTTCAGTTATTTTTTCTTAACTTGCCTTTAGTTGTTTCATCAGTTTATATCATACATTTACAATGTTAAGTCTTACTAGGATAAATGTTAATTTTCAAGTTCAGTTTGAATGAAATTAGATTATGTAAGGAAACACCAATTATGTCAAGATAAATGGAAGTATAATGCATTCCTCAACTTCTAAAAATTTTTAATGATTTATTTTTAAATTTTTTGTCATTTTATAGTCATTGTGTCATTTTATAGTGCTTATAGTCATTTTTTGCTGAAAGTCCATATTTCAAAGAGGTTTTAAGTTACATTAATTACATATATGTTGTAATTAGACTTTGTATAGTTTAGACAACTATTATATATTTAAAGTGAATTTTGAATGTGGTTCATTGCAGGAAATACACTTAAGTACTTGTAATTAAAAATGCCTCGAATAACATGAAGCCCTTCCGTTGTATATTTTTAGATCCGTTATGCCTTCAACACAGACTGCGACATGTTAAAATTTTAGATTCTCTTCTATTACTCTCCAATCTCAGTCTTGGTGGAGCAGTTTTTTTTTTTTTTTTAATGACAAATAACATTTCTCCCATTCTTCAAAATAAAATACCTTTTGTCTTCTGATTTGCCAGCCTGAATAGGTTTAGTGTCTAGGACTCTGCTTTGGGATGAATGTGGTTTTTTAGAATGGTAATCACAGTTCCACTGGTTCATCTATGTCCAGTTTCCTGGTAAGAGAGGTGGTTCAGAGAGGAAGAAGACACCTAAATTTCATTTTACTGGGTATCTCTTGGGGATTTGCCCCCAACACGCTGTTGTACCTGTAAATTTAGATGAGACTCAAAAGGGTCAGAATGATAACTTTAGGAGTGTGTGGAGGAACATGTTTCATTGCATAGAAAGAATTGTAAAATGTATACAATAATAGTGTGCAAAAATGCGAAATGTGAGTCTTGATTCCAGATTTCCCAGAAAATTTTTTGCCTGTATTGGGTTGTGGATACTTTTGCTTTGTTGAAGTATCCTCAGCTTGTCCAGCAGAGGGCAATGTGTGTCCACCATAAATGTGAAAGTTTGGAAATTCCTTTGTCAATGTATTGCCATGTGGTCGCTTACAACATTGCTTTCCTGAAGCAAATTTGGAGTGAGTGGTGTTTAACTTATTAATGCAGTGAAATAGTATTTTCTGGGCAAGAAATTAAAAATTTAAGCTCTACAATGGGATTGGAAAACGTGATTTTTTTTCAGAGTTGGTGTCCTTTGAGGAAGCTTTTAGAAGTTTATCCAGGGTAATCTGATTGTGGCAGGGCTCAAATAGAACATGATTTGAGTTTATCTCAACTCTCAGGAAAGTTTTTTGTGTTTTTGTTTTTTGTTTTTTCATTTTTTTAAATTTGAGGGGGAAAAAACAGGACCAGTGTACCTGAAAAACTTTGTTGTTTATGATAAAGGGACTTTACAGTAGGATGAACATTTATTTATTTTTTTAAGATTTTATTTATTTATTTGACAGGGAGAGACACAGCGAGAGAGGGAACACAAGCGGGGGAGTGGGAGAGGGAGAAGCAGGCTTCCCACTGAGTAGGAAGCCCGATCTGGGGCTCGATCCCATTACCCTAGGATCATGACCTGAGCGGAAGGCAGACGCTTAACGACTGAGCCACCCAGGGTCCCCTAGATTGAACATTTAATATTAGTATATAAATAACAGAAAAACATTCACAAGTGGAAACTAGGAGATAGGTGTCTGTAGTAAATGGAAAGTTCAGTGTAGATCCTAAGGATGGCTCTTCCAATCTGGAGTTGTACATTTGTGTAGTGAGAGGAGTGGTGGTTTTTTGGTCTGTCTCAGCACTTCAGAGTAATAAATACTCTCTGAATCTTTTGTCTGAAAGCTTGAAGTTAAGAAAGTCATTGTTAGCCTAACTGGGTACTTTTCTTCTTTATCATTCTTTAATTTTTATGAAGTTGGTTCACTTCCTTTTTTAATTTTGAGGAACAGTCTCACATAGAGTTAATATTCAGGCTCTAAAGTAAAAAGTCTGGGTTCAAATTGCCTCTCCACCATTGGGTTACTTTGGGTAAGTTGTTTATATCTGTGACTCAGTCTCTTTTCTGAATGTGCAAATAATAACAGGACCTCTTTTTGGTGGTAGTGTGAGGGTTGAATGAGACAATATGGTAGAGTTTTTGTATATACTGAGCGTATAGTAAACATTCCTTAAGGGCTGGCTAGCTATTACGGTTTTGTTTGTTTTACTACCAGGAAATAAGAATGCTTTCCTTTTTTGGCTTA